GCATGTAAATCCACAAAGGGCCTGAAAAAGCTGAAAAGAAAGTTCCAAGTAGGCTTGGTACTTGCTGCCTACACAGGCACTGGTGGCTACCAAGCACTTGAATGGTGGCAGGAGACGAGGTGGAAGTGCTTACCAGAACTGGGGCAGTAGACAAGCTCCAGGCAGGGGCCAGAGGCCCAGGCTCCTCTCTCTCCCACGCAAAGGGGGTGGAGCCAGCCTCCAGGACAAGTGATAAACAGAGCCACACCGCAAAGGACCTAGCTGCCCCTGAGCAGTTTAAAGTTTAGCTCACACAGAGAAGGCTGCAGATATGCAAAAAGTCAGGTCTAGACCAAGAAAACCTCTAAATAAAGTATGCTTAAATGTGCTTAGATGCTGAAGATTGAAAGAAAATGGCACAGACAGTCATAGGAAAGTAGTTTAGAAGTAATGCAGTGAAGTCATGAAAGAGTAAAGTAATATAAGTGGATAAGACCTATATGGAAGGGGAATACTGTAACACAGGGTGTTTGCACTTCATAGGGTGTTTTGTTAGTTCTGAACTTTTTGGATGCTAACGAACAGAAAACAACTACTGAGGGGCTGCGAATTAAGCCAGTCTGTATACCTTAGGAATGTCTTTAGACTGAAAGTCAGAAAATGTGTTGCATTGGGGAAGAGGTTATGCTTTGTTTCCACAGGAAAAAAAAGCTGCTGCAGATTCCTTCAAAATTAATAGAGACCAGATTTGATTGGAGGAGACCACCTGAGGATCTTGTCTAGAGATGTGGGAAAAAGTAAAAAAAAAAAAAAAAAAAAAGACTACAGGACAGGTGACGTGTAAGATGATCCCTTTGCAAGGGAACAGCTCTGAGACTGGATGAAACTTGATGAATCTTGTTGGCTACAGAGTCCTCGTGACTTATTATTACATGGCATCCTTTTGTATGGCATGGTTAGAGGTTTGGTTATACAGTCAGTCCAAACAATGATCCAGCTCTCAGAGCACCTCTGTGTCAGGAGCCAGCCTTGGCGACCCCAAGCCTAGATAGACGCCAGAAAGTCTGGCATTCCACTCCCTTATCACAGGAGAGTCAGGATACCTGCCTGAGAACAATTAACTCATCCCTCCCCCCACCTCCTTTTTCTCTGCTCCTCCTTTCTCTTTAAAAAGCTCCTTGGTTTCAATAAAATTGGCCTTGACAATGGAATCTGCTTGGTCCCGCTCTTTCTTTCTCGCCCATTATTTGCAGGCGTGATCCACCTCGGACCCACGAATTACCGGAGCCCCGCGGGTTCTTTTGGTTCTCTAGTTAGGCCAGCTTTTCAGTTCCTGAAAGAAGCATCTTTCGTGTTGCTTGTGTTTGTGACGTGTAAATCGGCCATTTGGTCACTGAATAAGGGCAGAAGCAGATGACACAAAAGAACTCAGCCCCTGTTGATTGTGGACTGTGGTCAGTGGAACCTGGAGACTTCATGCTGCTAAGTTTGTTTTTCAAGACAGGGTTTCTGTAGACCATACTGGCCTTGAACTCACAGAGATCAGCTTGCCTCTGGCTCCCAAGTGCTGGTATTAAAATTGTGGGCCACCACCACTCAGTTGATGTTAAGTTTTTTGTTTTTTTGAGATAGGGTTCCTCTGTGGCTTTGGAGGCTGTCCTGGAACCAGCTCTTGTAGACCAGGCTGGTCTCAAACTCACAAAGATCCACCTGCCTCTGCCTCCTTAGTGCTGAGATTAAAGGTGACTACTCTTTATTATTATATTGGGCATAGGCTAAAAAGCCATGCCTCATCACATGGAAGGAAAGCCTTCAGTTGGCTTGAGGGCTTATGGTAGAGCACTGACTGAACTTGGCATTAGGAGAATGGTAAGAAAACCCTGGAAGGATTGACTTGCATTGCTTTTTTCTCAGCTGCTGGCACCTGTCCCTAAGAGACGCCCGCTAGCTGGATCCAGCCATCCTGCAGAAGCTGCCTTACTGTCCAGCTCAGGTAGCAGTTATTAAGGACTGTTTTCCATTGCAAATTTAGAAACGAGAAAGCTGGGTGAAATCAGATTAGGAACAAAGATCTCATAGTTGCTGGTGGGAGTAGAAATTGATAGTTTGGCATTATCTAGCAGCACACGGAGACACGTTTGCTTGAGGTGTATGCATGAGAGTGCTAGCCAACACGCCAAAAACTGGTCAGGGACCCATCTACAGTATAGCTGACAGTCACAAAGGATGCCAGACAACGGTGAAAATGAACAAAGGAAAGTATGTGTGGCACACACAATTTTGGACCAAGTAAGTACATCAGAAAATTGTCTCTAAGAAGTGCTTCCATCTGAAGGAAGTTCAAAGACAGGCAAAAGCCATATTCTTGTTTTCAAGACAAGGTTTCTCTTTGTATCCCTAGCTGCCCTAGAATTGGCTCTGTAGACCAGGCTGGCCTCAAACTCACAAAGACCTACCTGCTTCTGCCTGCTGAGTGCTGGGGTTAAAGGCGTGCACCACCACCCCCAGAATGATTTTTTTTTTTTTTTTTGGTATGCACATTTGTTTGTATGAGGGTGTCAGGTCCTCTGGAACTGGAGTAATGGACAGTTGTGAGCTGCCATGTGAGTGTTGGGAATTGAACCTCAGTCTTCTTGGAGGAAAAAACAAAACAAAAACAGCTGAGCCATTTCTCCAGCCCTTCAAATATAAATTAAAATATTAATTTAGGGTTTAGGCCAAGAGTAGAAAATGTTTTAAAAAATAGAGGATGAGGACACATGAGACAAAGCAAAAAGGAGGGGTAATGCAGTCTGAAGAGAAACCGGTGTACCAAAGGCAAAGTATTTAAATGTCCACTGTAGGATTAAGAAAGGCTCACACCCTGCCTGCCCACCTTCCTCAAGATGAAGCCGATACCCAGAGGGCTCTGTTCCCTCCTTTCATGGCTATCACCTTGTGATTCTCTTCATTAATAAGCTATGGTAAAAGTATAAGGAAAACATAGAGAGGCTGTCACCTTGGTCTGGACTCTCTGGGACATTATTTTTGACACCCATCATTTCCCATTTTGGAATGAAGCCTAAGTAGTTGAAAGCCACATAAAGACTGGCGTCCCCAGTGTGCAGCCTCACCCCCTCAGCAGATGGGAAACAGCACTAAGTTGCTGGCCAAGACAGCAAGCTGTATTATACCATGTCAGCAAGTTACTCCTGTCAAACCTTTCATTAGAAGGGGCTGCTGTGGTTTTCATTAAGTAAGACAATGGGAACATCCTCTATTGAGATGCAAGGCATGGATGCCTATATTATCACCACCACCATCAACTTCAGAGCAGATAATTCCATATCCACATTGACAACCGATTGCTGCTCTTAGAGGTTAAACATTTCTCCACGGTATTACAGCATCTAGAATGAGCTGCTAAGTGGCTGTAAATAGCTTACCCAGCTTCCTGATTTTTTTTTAAAGATTTTATTTATTATTATGTAAACAACATTCTGCTTCCATGTATATCTGCACACCAGAAGAGGGCACCAGGTCTCATTACAGATGGTTGTGAACCACCATGTGGTTGCTGGGAATTGAACTCAGGACCTCTGGAAGAGCAGTCGGTGCTCTTAATCTCTGAGCCATCTCTCCAGCTTCCTGATTTTAACATTTTACAAAATTTTTGTTATAAACAAGGATGTGAGCAACCTTCTACTTAATGGCATTAAAACTCAGGGCATTTTTTTAATTTTTGTTTAAATTAAAAACCTTATTTTACATACCAATCCCAGTTTCCTCTCCCTCCACCTGTCCCCATTCCACAAAGCCTCCCCCATCCACCACTAAGGGAGGGTGGGGCCTCCCATGGGGGATCATCAAAGTCTGTCATCACTGGGGCAGGACCAAGGCCCTCTCTGTTGTATCTAGGCTGAGTATCCCTCCATAGGGAATCGGCTCCCAATGTCCATTTGTACACTGGGGATAAACACTGGTTCCACTGCCAGAGGCCCCACGACTGATACCCACATTCAGGGGGCCTGGTTTGGTCTTATGTTGGCTCCCCAGCTGTCAGACTGTGGTCCATGAGTTCCCACTTTCTGTGGGCTTCCCCAACAGGGTCTTGATCCCTTTGCTTATCACTCCTCACTCTACAACTTTTATCTCAGGGCTTAGCAGTGAATCTGCTTCTGCTTTCAATAGCTACTGGATGAAGGCTCTTTGATGGAATTCAATGTAGTCATAGATCTCATTACAGAAGGGCATTTTTTTTTCTTGCTGCAAACTGCACGAGGCTTTATTGTAATTTAATGAGCTAACCCCATGTTAGCTCGGGTCTTTCACCCACCCGCCATGGCGGATGGACAGAAAAGACCAAGGAGAAGGGCATTTAAGGCAGTCTCTCCACTACTTAGATTCTTAGTTGGGGTCATCCTTGTGAATTCCTGGCAAATTCCCTAGTGCCAAGTTTCTCATTAAGCCCATAATGGCTCCCTCTATTAAGGTATCTCCTCCTGTTCTTCCCCTAACTTGACCTTCCTGACCATGCTCCCCATTTGCTCAGATCTTGTCACTTTCCCCTCTCTGTGGGACCACGTGTTGGTGGATTGTAGTCTGGTTATCCTTTGCACTGTCCAATATCCATATATGAGCGAGTACATACCGTATTTGTGTCTATGTTTGCTTACTCCAGATGGTTTCTTCTAGTTCCACCCATTTGCCTGTGAATTTCAGGATGTCATTTTTTTTTTACTTTAAAACACAGGACATTTTAAGACTTTAAAATGTAACATTAGGCCGGGTGGTGCACATTTAATCCCAGCACTCCGGAAACAGAGGCAGGTGGATCTCTGTGTTGAGTTCGAGATCAGCCTAGTCTATACAAGATGACAGGCTCCAAAGCCAGAGAATCCCTATCTCAAAAACAAACAAAAAAACAACCCACACCCCAAACCTACTCTCAAGGTTAAGTATTCAACATGAATCAGGTCATTACCCCCTCTCCAATGCCATTAGCATCCTGCAGTAGCAATCCAAGTAAAGACTTCACGAGACAACTTGTAAGAACTTTATTTTCCTTCCACCTTTTTTCCCTTTGCTCAGCTGTCTGCAGAGCAGCTCAGGACCACTCAGTGGTGGCTCCAACCCACTCAGTGGCCTGTGCTGTGGGAGCTGCTGACCAGTCCTCAGTGGCTGGCTGGGCACTCCAGTCTTCAGTAGGAAACTGCTGGATGGGTACAGAGGGCACCTGCACACCCTCAGACCAGTCGGCCACCTCTGGCTGAGCAGCAGTGAACTCTGGCGCTGGCGCTGTCCATTCACCCTGAAATTCCTCCTTGGTCACAGCCTTCTCGGCAGCAGCCTGCTCCTCCTTCTCAATCTAGTTTTTAAAAGCACATGACAGACAAGTTTAGCTACCCTGAACCAGACCAAGGTGGCCCACCCACTCAGTGGCAACAAGCATTTAGAAGAGTAAGCCTTACCTCCTCTGGGTCTCTGTAGAAGTAAAGGTCAGGCATTACCTCCCATGGGTGCTCACGGGAGATAGTGCCACGCATACGGAGTACTTCCCGGGCCAGCATCCACCACATCAGACCCACCGAGTGAGCTCCCT